AAAGAGCCTCATGAATAAAAACAAATCGTTAAAAACATTTGTTTTACCAACCATTATTTTTAACCAGACAATAGTAGATTATCTTAATAAGTATGAAACAAATGAAAACATATGTATATACTGCCATCTTTTATTTATTTTGCTAGGTTTGTTGAGGAAAAGGGAGAAAGGCACAAAGTATACTTTCATTTTCTTCAGGTCGTGTTTCACGTTAAAACATGAAGATTATTTTCTTATCCCCACTGACGTGACTTCTCTTCTTTCTCTTTGTTGTTCTCTGTTTCATACAGAGTGAATTTGACGTATGTTTGTAGTTCATCACCAGAGAGTGAAGACATATGATCCAGTTTGAGCCACAGGAGACGTGAGTGTTATTCAGTGTTCTCAACATGACACCATATAATACAACAATACTGAATGTGTATGAATGTGTAACAGGTCACACAGGGAGTGTCAGCGAGGGAGTGTCAGCGAGGGAGTGTCGTTAACGCTCACTGATTTGCAGAATAACGACAACACGACAACTTAAAAAGGTTGAATGACAACATTAACTTATATTGTAAATCTGCACAGTTAACAAACAGCTGACAAAGTTAAGTGTTGTTGAAGTAATACAATATTTATTATCATCTTCAGGCCTTGTTTAATTACTGACCTTGTTCTGATAGAATGTGAAGCTATGAGGGGGATTCTAAAATGTGTCATATGAAAACTTGTATTGACACAGAAATATCATGGTCTTGAGTCGAAAAACAATCATAATTGGCTTTTTATCCCTTTGTACCTCTGAATGACTGAGTGTGTGTATTTCTGCCTCTTCAAAGTGAACAACAAACCTTCAACCAAGTTAAAAATATCAAATCTGCTGTGTTTTCACCAGAGACAAACAAGCCGCTAATAATGAACAGAGTATTTCAGGTCAACTGTCCCATGAGTATATGTTTTCATTTAACTACAGGTAATGAGACAGAGAGGAATCAATAAACATGGGAAGATATCGTAATCCCATGTGTTGTAATTGGATGCAGGCTTATGTCCACACACGACCATTTAAAACCGCCCTGCTAATCCCTTTTCTTTTCTCCGACACCTGCAGAGCTGGACAGCAGGACAGAGGGATTAGACACTTTACTGGGGACGATACAAGGACTTCGACAGGTACCACCGCTTCTGTATTTATTTATCTATCTATTTATATCTGTTTAGATCTGTTCACAAGGGCAACATGTCAGTCTCTTATTAATTATTAACGTTATTATCATAAGTAGAGTCATTAATGTTTTATATAGAAACCCAACTGTTTCCACAATGAGCAAACCGAACACAGCTATTTTCACAATTAAAGGATGAAACCACTGTAAACGTAGACGAGGTGTTGGTGGAGACCAAACCAGAGCTAAAAGAAAAGTGAATATTGGACTATTAATTAAAAGATTACAGCTTTAATTTGGAGTTTAACTATTGGAGTTCAAGTACAGTTATTTGCATGGAGCAATTGTTGAATTCAAGAAGATATTTTGCAAATGATAAACTTATTTAGGATTTTATTTACCGACCATCCAGCCCAAAGCTTTACTACAACCAGACTGAAACTGCTGGAGTATTTCCCCTGTCAGCAGCAGCCATGGTGGACGCAGCAGCAGCGGAGCAGTTCCTGGACGCCAACCCGCAGTTCGCCAAGCAGTACTACGACATCAACTTCCGGCCTAAGGTCATCTCAGACCTGCTGGACAACAACCGTAAGACGGCGGTGAACATCAACACGTTTCACGAGCTGACGATGGTGGAGGAGAGTGAAATCCTCTTCGACTTGGTGCGGGACATCCAGGACAACCTGCAGATGGAGAAGTCGGTCTTCAACCTCATGAAGCACCTCAGCTTCATGATGAGGGCCGACCGCATGAGCCTCTTCATGTACCGGCAGAGGAACGGTGTGGCCGAGCTGGCAACAAGGTCACTGTGGATTAGTTATTCTAATTAAAAAAGTAGAGTCTGAAACACTGAAGACAGAGATTATGCACTAAAATATGGCGTAAAGGTCTCCTTCATTTTCCATGAAAGTAAAAATTGTAAGAATTGTTGTTTTCTTTACTCGATATTTAAATACTTTGCAGAGAACCTTTAAAACCACGCTGCTTCCTCTTCCACCTGATGCACAACAGATAGATGATGTGTTGGAGTCGTTCAAATTCAAACAGCACATTGTGATTTGACTGTCCTCATCTTTACTTCCAGGTTATTTAACGTCAATAAGGATTCAGTGTTCGATGACTGTCTGGTGCAGCCGGACAGTGAGATCGTGTACCCGCTGGATATTGGCATCGTGGGTCACGTGGCCTCCTCCAAGAAGATGGTCAACATTCCTAATGTGTCGGAGGTAATTCATTTTCTTTAATGTTTGCCTCAGGATCCTTAAAATCATAATTTTTTCTCACAATCCATAAAGTATCTTTCTATCTGTCGTGTTGGAGGTTACAAAAAATATGTTTTACTTTAAAAACAAGCTGTGAGACCACATTTGTCTCTCTGTTTTAAGTGATGTAGATCATCCCTCAGTTATATCTCTTCATCTTTCTGTCTTTTAAAAGATATATTTGTGTTTTTTAAGTGTACATTAACATAAAAAGCAACTCAGACTGATAGATATTTTAAATATAGAGTGACATCACCCAGCGAAGAAAACATGCTCGACTTGTTAATTTGCATCCTTTTTTTTTTTGTGATCAACTTTTTGGATTTATTGAAAAAGAAAAATGAACAAATACACAAAAAATGAAATGGAAAAAAAAGACACGATAGACAGTGTACATTGATTCGTTGAGTAGATCCAGCACAGATCTGTGGATGCGATGCGGATATGAATAGAATCAGAAAACCAGTGTGTAAATCTTCAACTCAGCAGGGAACAAATCCTCTCTGCAGAAAAAAAACACATTTCTAAATAAAGTTGGATTATTGCTCCGTAAACATTTTAATCCCAGAGTCCACTGCTGCTCTCTCCCTGTTTGACCACCAGGGGACGACGTAACACCACAGCGTGGCTGCTCCTAATTCCCTCCGACCAAAGCAGCTCAATCTCATTACAGCCAAATATCTCTGACATTTGAAAACACTGCACTACTTCAAATCTGTCTCTCTCCTGCAGAGCCCCCCCCCC